GACTTTAGACCAGGTTTTTGTTGGTCAATGGCGCAGTCTATTTCAGTTGCCTCAAAATAGCAATGCACCAGCAATGTGCCTGAACACACCTCATTTTCAGACCAGCACGCCCATGGGCGCTCAAATGGGTGCAAATGCATTTTCTATTTAAACAATGTGGCGCAGGATGGGAAAATGAGAACTGCGTCGGGCTGAAACTAGCAAAAACACTTGCGCCACGCCTTGCGCAGCATTGCGCCGGGTGTATGATAGAGCCCGGGGAGTCTATGGGACTGACTCCCTTTTGGAGCCAGACTCTAGCGGCCAGTCGATGAATTACAGTTTTAGTCACTTCCTTGTTGGCTTCACGAGAGAGAGCGCGAGGTTGCCGCTTGGTTTAAATCCATTTAATTTTAATATTTGGCCACATGCCAAGTCAGAAACTTTTATTTTGAAATCGCGATGAACAATCAATCACTTATTTAGAAATATGTTGATGTGTTCTCCTGTGTTGGCATAGGTTTAAATGATTTACGTTACAAATCAAGTGAGTTTTCCCAGATGAACGTAAAGAAGTCTCGTGTTTATAAGAGCAAAAACTTCTGATTGGCTGTTAGTCTGGTTGAGAGTGAAAGCTGTGTTCCTCTCATACATTGGTAGGCGAACTCATGAACTCGAACTTGATATCAACAAGTGTTTTTAATTGTAGGACGACTTTTTTCCCCAGCCAAACGTGCACGCTGGAGATCCGGCACGGTGCCGGAGAACTTTAAGCCCTGTGGGAGTTGTGGTCTTCATCCCCACATAAGTAAAATAATACATATGATTTTAATGTTTTCTTTTAAAATTTGAAAATAAGATATAACTAAATTTGAATAATGTTACTGCTGCTTCTTCTAATCAATCATCTTCACAATTTTTGGACCTCTTGAGATAGACTGGCCCAACTGTGTATAATGACATAGGTAATACAACGTAAACATGATTTATGAGGACACTTCCTGTGCCCCCGTAAACCAAAAGGCTTTAAAATAAAATAGTAAATGGTGTTTTTTTTTTACTCAAAAATTGCCAGTAGTTTTCTGTAAGGGGTAGGTTTAGGTGTAGGGCGATAGAATATACAGTTTGTACAG